TTGGTAATGAAGATGTATTGTTGTTTTGACTAATGACACTTTGTTGTAGACTTTTATAGATCGTAGAGAAAGGTCTTCTTTTACTGGCCCAATATATTGGTTACAGGGGTCAAAGACGAGACGTCCCATTTTGGTGTCTGCATCCAATTAAATTTACAAAAGGGATTTTTCTATGCATAGAAAGCATATCAAATGCAAGTGAAGCGTCGTCTTTAATGTTTCAAATAACATTTGTGAAAATAAAATGTCAAAATATGGGTGAAGTAATGTTCCATCGTCAGTCAGCTTAACAGATGTATTTATGTAAAAATGAAACCACGTACTTATTCTGACCTGTACTAATTAAAATTATTAGTAGAGATGCACCGATTGCAATATTCTTGGCCGATTCTGATTTTTATTTTTTTTGTTTCCAAGAACTATAATTGACAGTGTATATACAAACAAAAATCTATGCAAATTTCAATGCAAAAATTATTTACATGATAAAAGAAATTATTAAACTACAATTCCCCCAATCTGGACTAAGTTACAGATTTTCTCTCACTTAAACAACTCTCAAAATAAAGTGCTCTGAGACTGGAAAGAGGAAGAAATGGTTAACTTAAAATAAGTTGCTGTATGTTACAAAATAGATGTCATTTCCCACTATGTTTATAAATGGTCATTTTTTCCCCTTATCTTATTAAATGTCATCTTTCACATCAAATTCTTACTTTGTTTCAATTAATTCAGTTAGAATAATAAGAAACTGTAGAGTTGTTATCATTCATATGAAACTGGTATTAACAAACTCTATCTTTCCACTGCTGAGGAAACAGAAGCTGCATCTGAAGTGGCATTAGATGCATTTACACAGACAGTTCTCTACTACACAGACAGTACATTGTATTGAAAATATGCAATGATACTTTTAAATATGACTAAATTATACTTTTAAATATGACTAAACCACCAGTAGGTGGTGGCAAATGTCTGTTTTAATGAATGAGTCATTTATTCATTCAATCGGCTGATTCATTCAGAAACGAGGCAAGTGACTGTCTTTATGAATGAGCCACTGAATCATTGACTCACTCGATTCATTCAAAAACGTGGATTCATTCAGTAACGAAACGCCACTGTGTGTTGCTCGGAGGCACACAACAGTTCTGCTGTGGCTTTGATCGGAACTATTTTCGTCAGTGAAATTGAGCAAATACAGTCAATATTTTGTCTAAAATCTAAGTCACTTAATTTTAACTTCTTGTTTATTGAAATACTGTTGTATAAACTCAGTGTCACATTGCAATCGTGTTGATATTGATATTCGGGGAAACATCATGGCCGTATAATGTTGCTTACCTAAAAGCATATTTTGTAAATATCTTTTTTTTTTTCCTACCGCAGTATGCATCTATAAATTTCTGTGCGTTACTTTGTGCGTGCTGTCTCTCTCACACATTCACTCAGGCTGTGCAAGCCTCATTTGGCACGACATAAATACATTATCTGTCGCCGTTTACAATGAATGCAATTAAAATTAGAACCATTCTCGCACGAAACGACATGTTTACACGCGACTGTGAGTGTGACGTCAAAATTGTGAATTTTTATGTCTCTACCAAAAAAAATAATAATTACCAAAGCTTGATTTTTTTTTTCCCTTATGGAAATTAACTTCCATATAAAGCTGATCGAACTGCTTAGTAATCTCGTCTAGTAATCACAAGAAATTGTTCTTAATCACCAGTTTTCAGAGATTTTCAACACATACTCCATTGTTGACATTTGGTTGGGTTTAAATCTCATGTTTGTGTCTAAGGTGGTCTTGATAATATATTTATAATATTCTGTCAGTTGTCTTTTTATATTCCAGTAATGATACTGAGTTCAGTGGCTGAAGGGATTCTGTATAAAAATGGTGATTTTTAAAAATGTAATGAGGAACATCAAGAGGTTTTGACTCTGTGGAGTTTAGTTTCACAGCATTAGCATATTCTCCTGATTCAGTACATCCATAAAGTCCTCTAGCTTTCTCTCAGCTACCCGAAACAGATTGAAAAAACTCTGTCAACAGAAAATGGGCCACGAGGAGTATGAAATAGCTGTTCATTAACAGTCCAAACAAATATCACTCATTGTCAACAGTGATCATCTGGGCCCTACAAACCAGCGAGAAACCAACAGATGTTCATGTCTGGCTAAGTGATCAGGACTTCAAGCTTGAATTGGTGTGTGTGTGTGTGTAGTGAGTTTTAGCCGGTTGGAAATGGTTGAATTTACTAACCCACTGTCGGGCATGTAATTAAACTTTGTGTAAAATAAGACGCCAGGAAATTAGTTCAGCTGCATCCTTTCGATGTTTCTTCCTCTTCTTGAGATCTACAGGCACTTCAGGTTGACAAGCTTGTGTAAAAACATCACACAAGGGTGACAACATAAGAGCATGGTGTAATATTGAGGAATTCCTGCTCAGGTGGAGGACTGTAACCTCGTGCTTAGAGCTTAACCGTGAAGATTGAACCTTCTTATTCTGATGCAGATTAGTTCTTTGTGTGGTGTATTCGCTTGAAACCATCTGTTCTATAATCATTTTTTTAACCGTTTGGTGTGGAAGAACCCGTTTCAGAATATTAACAGGTTTTAGCCCGTTTTAACAAGTAAAAAAGGTGTTAATGTACATGCGACAGGGCCATTTAAAATGTAATCTAGCCCTTAACCGCTGATAGTATAAACACCGTTTCGTTAACCTACTTTTATACCTCCTGTTGTTATTCAGACAGTCATACTGTTTTAGTTGCTAATAGTAGTTTGCTATGAAAGAATCCTGTCCATCATGACATTACAACAACCTCAACCAACGATATGAGTTTGGGGAGGGGCTATCAGTTTGTTTGACCAATGGGAGATAGAGAACATGTTTAGAGAAATGTTTAGGTTTCTCTTTGGTGACGCTAGTGGTACAGAAATGGCATGCATCACCTATAATATCAGCATGATATTAATTTCATTATTCAGTGCAAGAAAATTATGTCTTCGTAATCTACCATTAAGGAATCTATTAATCTGTCAAATAAATTGCATTCCTTTTCAGCAGACATCACCAAGCTCTCTTATTTTTCAGCCTTCTAACTACCTGTCTTATAGAAACAGTTTTTCACAACCCAAGAAATTCCTAAAAGATACAATCAAGTCATTTTTTCCCATTGAATATCCTTTTTCAAGTCAAGCTCTTTATTCTCGTTGTACCGGCACACGTTTTTTTCCCCTGTGAGGTTGTTACATTAAATATATAGAAAAATACAAGTATACATATTTATATTTTCCGTACATAAAGTATTAAATTCTCTTAAATTAGCTTTTGTCAACAAATATATGATCAAATATGTGATTAATCTAATTAATCAGCACCTCATGCAAGTAATTTGATTGACAGCCCTGGTTTAAATCTGTTTCCTGATGGATGTATAGATCAAACAGAAGCAATGATGTGTTTCTCAAATGGTTATGTTTTTTTTCAATTTTTCTGTCTCTCCTGATCATTTTCTCTTCTGCTGGATGCTCATAACCTAGATTCTGCAGTATGTATGTGTGTAAAGCCTTGAGCGGTTTTGCTACTGTTTTGAAGTAAAGAGGGGGGTGAAGAGGCCACCAAACTACGCTTCTCTACCTAGATTTTAATGCAGAGGTTTATGCAGTTTGAGAATGTGAGATTAAGTCTCTCAGCTTTTGGAAGCAGAAGATCCTGCTTGCATCTATAAGCCCCAAAAGCAAACCCTCGATGAGCTGGACAAGCTCTTAAATCACTCTGACAGATCAAGAAGAGCCTCAAGCTCCTCATGTGTGTTCGTATCCTGGTCTCGTTACCTCAGTCAAACCTGAATCTCTGCACTCATGAACAGAGGAAGAGAAAGAAATGTGTCTGTTTTATTGCAGATAGTTTACTTTAAATGCCTAAAATCTTTATGGAACCTAAAATCCATTTTTAATAACATGAATTTGCCAAATTTACTTGATTTTAATGAAGTTATGATTCAGTCCTAGATATGAGACTATATGTGATGTTTTTCTGAATGTGACAGGATACTAAACAACCTTATGCATTGGGAATTCAATGGATTGTGAAGGGGGGGGGCTAAACATGAGGGCTTGGTGATATCAGTGGAGAAGGAAAGTCGTTTCACAGGCAGAGCAAGTTATTACATTTTGATGAAAAATTACAAAAACACTAAAAAAAAAAAAACACACACAGGAATCATTCACAAGAAGACTAAAAGATAATGATTTTGATTTTGTTGCTTTTAATAAATGTTACTGTTTTCATAGTTTTTCACTAAATCTAAAAATTTGATCTGTCTCTGAAATATTTTTTTTCTTATAATGCACTAACAAGGGTTATGTAGGCGATGAAGAATAATGTTAACCAATGATATCAATCTACCTGACCAAATTATTCAATCCTATAGATGAAGTATGCAGTTTGAAAAGGCCTGTAGTCAAGGCAAGGCTTCGGTCTACCACAATATTGCAACACTTCATCTACTAATGGATGTAAATAAGGGCAGAACGAACTTTAATTTGGATTTATGGGATAGAAATAGTGCCCATTCTCATAATGAGCATCAGCACAATAAAACATAATACATTTATTATGACAGTCATTTGCAGAGGCAAGACCGGCAGGCTTTAATAATGCAGCCAGAGACTAATCAATATCTTGATTCTGTTTCAGGCTCGTTGTCAGTTTTAAAAAAATTTTCATTCAGTCTTTTACTTTGGTTTCATTTGTAGCTTTCCACACACTCGTAGCTTCTTGGGTTCTGTACTCTGTTATATACCAATAAAATCGAAAATGATTTTGATTGTGGGCTATATTACTTGAGCCGTTAAGAAACCATCTAGTAATAACTTATTGTGCTAATAAGCACCACTCATATTTTCTTCAGAATATGTGAAAAATGTATTAGTTAATTTTATTTCAGACGTTTGACATTCTCTGTTTTTCCGCTCTGTTTCAGATAACCGTGACAGAAACGGTGTTGTTCTTGATACAGTACACATCAAAAGATCTTGACAGTCGAGAGAAGACCATCATGACCGGGGACTGCTGTTACCTCAACCCATTAGTGAGGAGGAATTTCCGTTTCCTTGGTATGTCACGGCTATTCCACTTCATTTTATGGATCTTTTTATGGAACGTTGTGCTTGCAGCTCTGGCATTCAATTTATAGTTAAACTGTGGGAATTACTTGGATGTGTTTTGTCCCTCTCAACAGAAAAAGAGGTTGCACCAACCAACGGTAAGTGCACTAATGTCAAAAACCCTTGTATTTTATGTTAAAACATGTGTAGGAAGGTGTTTGAAACACTTTAATTTTATAATAGGGACATTTCAGACAAATAAGAGCTGCCCTCATTTACCTTCGTGTCTGACTTCTGTAAAACACAAATGGAGAAATAAAAAAATAAAAAAAATTCTCTAAAAGAACGTTCTTAATAGGATAAAACAGCACCTTAAAAGAACAGTAGTCCAGTATGACTTGTGCTCTATATTTCTAAATTCTGAAGCCACACAGGAATGTTGTTTGAGGAACAGACTGAAACATAATATGTTATTCATTAATAATAATGAAAAGGATGACTTGAATGTACTCAATTGGCTTCAGAATACTTGAAATAAGACAAATGGACTACTGTTTTGTTGTTTTTGTTGTACTTTTTGACCTTATTGGAGCTTAACAGCTGTGGTCACTTTTCTGTATGTTTGTTTTATGGAAAAAAGCAGAAAACGTTTGCTAAATTATAAATAAATTAATAAATAAAATAAATGAAGTTTAAATCATGTAACGTAGGTTTGAAAATACATGTGGGTAAGTAAATGACACAATTTTTATTTATGGGTGACGTGTTCCTTTAAGGTTTAGTCAAAATGCAGTTTGTTGCACACAAAAATATGGATTCTTAGAATTAGTGATGCACCAAAATTTCAGCAATAGGAAATATTCAGATGAAACCACAAAAAAAAAAAAAATTTTGGTGCATCAATATTGGGAACACAACCTGTACTTCTATATGATCTACATGTGTTTTTGCTGTGTAACCTCACATGCTCTACAACACCATGATGGTAAAGCCTCTCCAGCCACGTCACATATACTTAAGACCAGACTTAATCTGTGCTGTCTGTCTGTCTCTCTTCCTTGCTCTTTCGTTCTCGCAGTTAAATTTTTTCCCCTTTTCACTCAGTTTCTCCCACTAATGCTTTAGTGTTTTTGTGAGATAAAGAAACAGCAACGTCATGGATTATTAGCCTGATCCTCAGAGAAAATCCACTTCCATCTCCTATTCATTTCTGCATTAAATGGTTCCCATTCACCACAGACGCTCTCATTTTCCGGTAGAATATACAGTACTTTAGTCATACTTTCACAGTTTGCTGCGCCTAGTCATCCAAGCTGCTGGATTGTTGGACATCTGACTGCATTAACGGTCTTAAAGACAAATCAGATAAGCAGAATTGTTCCTAAGCCTCCTACAAGGCGCTGAGAATATCACCTTTACTTTACTGACAGCATCTGTCACTGTTCAGCAGCAGTCAGTGTGGCCCAGGGGAAATCGGATCTATCTGAGACTTCTCTTTTTTTACTTTACAGCACTTGGCAGCTCAAAAGCATTGTCATGATTGTTTACAGACTACATCTTTGACATTTTTATCTTTAAAGAGATATAGCAAGTTATTTCAAGCTCCAGGTTTTTTCTAAAAGGGACAGTTCACCCAAAAATTGTGTGTATGATCATTTACTCAAGTTGTTCCAAACCTCATCAGAAATGTAGAAAGACTAAAAATTAAGTCATTATTCATTGAAAATCCATTGCAGTTCTCAAATCTCATTTACTTTTGACATCAGTGACACCAAATGACATTCATTGGTAACTGAGGAAAGTCATAGAGGTTTGGAACAACATTAGTGTGAGTAATGATACAATTAAGCAATAAGCATCAATTAAGCAATAAGGTTCAAGAGGTTGTGTATACAATTTATACACTACTATTCAAAAGTTTGGAGTCAGTAAGAATTTATTTGAATAAATTTATAATTTTATGCAGACACATTAAATTGATCCAAAGTTGTTTTTTTTACTTTCCATTCGTCAAATGTGACCAAGAAAATTGATAACAGTTTCCACAAAAATATTAAACGGCACAATTTTCAATAATAATAAGAAGAAATGTTTCTTGAGCAGCAAATCAGCATATTAGAATGATTTCTGAAGGATCATGTGGCACTGAAGACTGGAGCAATGAAAATTCAGCTTTGCATCACAGGAATAAATTACATTTTAAAATATATTAAAATAGAAAGCAGTTATTTTAAAGTGTAATAATATTTCACAATATTACTGTTTTTACTGTATTTTCAATCAAATAAGTGAAACTTAAAATACATTACTATGTGTATGTAAATATATTCACAATATAGCACATTTCCTTATTGCTTCTACAAAATGTTATTAAAAATATAAAGGGCAAATCATCCATTTATATCCTATATGTGTTAAAACATTAACGGTCTTAAAGACAAATCAGATAAGCAGAATTGTTCCTAAGCCTCCTACAAGGCGCTGAGAATATCACCTTTACTTTACTGACAGCATCTGTCACTGTTCAGCAGCAGTCAGTGTGGCCCAGGGGAAATCGGATCTATCTGAGACTTCTCTTTTTTTACTTTACAGCACTTGGCAGCTCAAAAGCATTGTCATGATTGTTTACAGACTACATCTTTGACATTTTTATCTTTAAAGAGATATAGCAAGTTATTTCAAGCTCCAGGTTTTTTCTAAAAGGGACAGTTCACCCAAAAATTGTGTGTATGATCATTTACTCAAGTTGTTCCAAACCTCATCAGAAATGTAGAAAGACTAAAAATTAAGTCATTATTCATTGAAAATCCATTGCAGTTCTCAAATCTCATTTACTTTTGACATCAGTGACACCAAATGACATTCATTGGTAACTGAGGAAAGTCATAGAGGTTTGGAACAACATTAGTGTGAGTAATGATACAATTAAGCAATAAGCATCAATTAAGCAATAAGGTTCAAGAGGTTGTGTATACAATTTATACACTACTATTCAAAAGTTTGGAGTCAGTAAGAATTTATTTGAATAAATTCATAATTTTATGCAGACACATTAAATTGATCCAAAGTTTTTTTTTTACTTTCCATTCGTCAAATGTGACCAAGACAATTGATAACAGTTTCCACAAAAATATTAAACGGCACAATTTTCAATAATAATAAGAAGAAATGTTTCTTGAGCAGCAAATCAGCATATTAGAATGACTTCTGAAGGATCATGTGACTCTGAAGACTGGAGCAATGAAAATTCAGCTTTGCATCACAGGAATAAATTACATTTTAAAATATATTAAAATAGAAAGCAGTTATTTTAAAGTGTAATAATATTTCACAATATTACTGTTTTTACTGTATTTTCAATCAAATAAGTGAAACTTAAAATACATTACTATGTGTATGTAAATATATTCACAATATAGCACATTTCCTTATTGCTTCTACAAAATGTTATTAAAAATATAAAGGGCAAATCATCCATTTATATCCTATATGTGTTAAAATGGTTCATTTTAACATTATTATACTAAGAAAATTCTTTATGGGTGCTGATTGTTATTATCTGATTTACAGTTTTAGTCCTTGCAAACCTCAAACTCAAAAGATAAAGCACCTAGAAGATTTCCAGTCTGTGGCGGCTACTTGAAATCAAAATTTTGAAGAATGATGTTTCTTCCTGTCTTGTTTGAGGTTTGATGATGCATCTCGACTGAAAAGCATCGAATGAGACCAGTTGCTTTGTGACCTGGAGTCACTGGCTTGTGTTATTTGCATAATGAGTCACGCTGCGATGTTCTTCGGGAGAGATTAAATTTAGAAAATGGCTGTGGGTCATGGTGCACTCTCGGTTAGCTCAGGCAGGCTTTTTCAGTAATATTTCCCCATCTCTCTGCCTGAAAAGAACTCTTGGTTCACATTGGCTCTTGATATCATAAATGATTGTGAATGAAAACAGAAAACACTTCAAAGCAGTGTGTTTGTGCCAGTAAAGCATCATTAAATAGCTCCTGTTCTTCCTCCAAGTTATATCAATGAAATGTTAAATCTGATGTTTTCTGTAACAATTTGAACTCGGGCTGAATGTATCATTATGAAGGTAATGGAGTTAAAAATGTCTTTTCATAAAACAGTCACAATTGGGTAAAATCTTTTTTTTTATTTTCATTTCAGGCCTTTCATGTAAAATATATATATATATATATTATATATATATATTTTTTTTCCAGCCTAAAGCAAAAACTAAATTATTTTTCAACTGGCATTCTCAAGTCTCTTAATAAAACTAGACCATATTTTCCCTCCAAACCATCTGCCAAACTTGTTTTTCTCTGTGTCACGTAAAAAATCTGCAAGGCGTTCCTCTGAGTGACTGTATTTACAGAGGGAAACATGTTAAACAGGGCTTTGTTAAGGTTGTCGTCTGAATACGCCTGCCAACAGTTGTGAAAATGACTTATTGTTGACACAAGTCTTTGAATGGCTATAATAATAGCCTTGTCAAGCCTGTCATTCTGTTGAGCTGAAAAGATGTTCCAAACAAAAAGAACATGACATTTAGGAGTGAAGGAGAAAAACTGAGCTCTTTCAGAAACAATGGTGACTTCCTGTTCCTCAGCTAGTATCTACCGTTGTAAAACTCCTCAGAACACAGGGGTATATTATGAAGAGGAAGACTAATTTGTGATGTGTCCATCATGATTTTGGGTTCCTCAAGCTCTGTGGTTCTCGTTTTGCTTCAGGATCGTCAAGTGGTGAGCCAACAAAACCGTTACCCATATTAAAAAAAGTCTTGCTCACTTTCTCACGTTCAGATTTTTGACAATGAGGGCGTGTTCATAGGGCTAAACATATATATACTCTACCATTCAAAAGTTTGGGGTAAGAAAGATACTAAATAAAAAGGAATAAAAATGTTATGCATTACATGAACTGAAGTGACAGTAAAGACAATTAAATTAAAGTTTTCAAATAAATACTGTTATTTTCAACTTCTTATTCATCAAAGAATCATGAAAATATGTATCACAAAAATGTTAAGCAGCAAAAACTTTAAAACATTGATAATTATAAGAAAATTATGTAATAATTCTATTATATAAAATATAATTGAATTTGGTTTGTCAATAACATGCACATCCAATGTTTGAGCTCTTTTATTTGAGGTATTATGGTTTGGTTTACGGAGCGGTGATGAGAGACTCAATTATGAGGTTCAGTTATGAAGTTTGGTTATCTCATTAGCTCAGTACATTAGCTCCACTAATGCCTCCTCACAACTCAGCGGCGAAATGTGTGCCACTGTGGAGATCACCTAGGCTTAGTCGAATCCGTCCCCTTAATGTGCTTAAGTATGAAATTTCGGTTCTGGTACGCGCTGTGCTAACCGAGCCCACATAAACAGGCTGAGCGCGACCGCTGAATAATTGAACCAATTTTCCAGGTCACGTTTGTGAAATACATACTTTAAGTCCCATGTTGATGGATTCTCTTTAAGGGATTACATACTTTTAATGTCAAATAAAGGCAGGGAATTTTAATATCAAATATAGGAAGTGTTTATGGTAGATATATGGTAATAGTAAATTCACAAAAATAAGAGAATGAAAGTTTTAGTTTTCATGTTTTTGTAGTAATTGGTATCTGGATCTGTTTTCTTCTCCATAGGTGTATACATGTTTGGCCTTTTCACCACTGACATCTTTGTGAACGCTGGTCAGGTGGTAACGGGGAACCTGGCCCCTCATTTCCTGACACTGTGTAAGCCCAACTATACAGCTCTGGGTTGCCAGCAAGCTCTTCGCTACATCAGCCATCAGGAAGCCTGCACCGGCAACGAGGACGACATCCTGCGTGCACGCAAGACCTTCCCTTCCAAAGAGGCGGCGCTCAGCGTGTACGCTGCTGTCTATATGGCTGTGAGTATCTCATAAATCCAACCCATCCTCATTGGAAAAACGTGCCTGTGGTGACGTTGTTGCAAAATATTAGGGGTGCTCCGATTGATCGGCTACTGATCACTATCGGCCGATAATCGCGTTGGGATGATTGATCGGCGGTCTCTAAAAAGGCCGATCTCAAAAAAACGATCTCAAGCTTGATGCCTGCCATGAGAGGATTGGCACGCCATGCAGCGGCACCGTCTCAGTCTCGCACTCATGTTAACGGATTAAATGGAGCATTATTTTAATGGCAAATGTCGAGAGTGCATTGTTGTAGCGCGAAGGTAGGTTGATATAGAGCGTGAATCTCCCCGCTCGCATGTGGATTTCCTTTGCTCTTGCTCAAAACCAGACACGCGCACTCAGATATAAACCTGGTTTATAAAGTGTTCACACTGCACACGGTTGTGGTCCGGCAGTGTGTACCAGGAGCGGTGCGTCTGCAGCAGTGCAGAGATTGTTTCCGCACTGAGTCTATTGCTGTACTGCAAGCGCTGAATTAAAGTGACAGCGCATTGTTTGCGGTAAATATGAGCTTGGATTGACACGAAAATTTTGCAATTGCAGTCAACACATATGACTTTTTGGCTAGGCTTAAAGGAAAAGAGCACTTCTAGATAAACAATAATAGATGCACTCCTGGAGGCAGGAAAACAAAGTTCTTTATTAACTGCAGGATTGCTTGTAATAAAGATTTAAATGCAAAAGAAAAGGCAGTAGAGCTGAATGTTTCTGTCAATGGTAAGTTTTAATTTAGAAAGTTTGGAAACGTTGAAAAAGTAGTTTAACTCAATCTGAGCAGCTGAGTGAGTCCTTAGCCATCTTCAAGAAGTGGCTAAAAACACATCTCTTCAATCTTTATTTGACCCTCTAATTCTAGCACTCTCTATTCTAATTCTATTTTATCTATTTGTTTTCTTTTTTATAAAAAAAAGACTTCTAACACTAGCATTCTCTATTCTTTTTCTATTCTATCTGTTTTCTTTTTATCTATTATATAATTAAAAAATAACTTGCTACGTGTACTGCGTTAGGCTAACTGAGACTTGTTATAGTACTTGCTTATTATTGCTCTTTTGTTGATTCTGATTGCTTCCATTGTCCTCATTTGTAAGTCACTTTGGATAAAAGCGTCTGCTAAATGACTAAATGTAAATGTTTTGCCACTTGCATGAGCAACTTAATATATAAATCTAGAAGTAAATGCAAAAGTAAAAGCATTGAAAAAAGTGTTGCTTATGTATTGAATTTAAACACAATAGATTGTATTACTGTACTGTGTAAAAAAACAAAAAAGAATCACAATGCTGAAAAAGCATATTCAGTAACAATGTTTTGATTTGAAATCAAAATAATGGATAAATGTTGTGTTTGTGGTAAACAGCCACGGATCAGGAGCCGACTCCTGTGTGAAAGCACAATGAGTCTGTGCTGTTTCTGCACCACTCACGTACCGCAAATGGACTACATACGCACTGCAAACGGAGTATGTGTGAACACTGTGTAAAAGGCCGCCTCGCATACAGCTCACAAAATACAGCTGTGTGTAAGCTATTGTGCAACAATTGCACGATTGTAAAAACAAATGCACTGCATGATCATCAAACATTTAGGTCAGATAAATATATATATTTTAAAAATGTCAATAAAATGCCCCCCTCCACCCCTCAAATTAAAAAATCCCCCCAACATGTCACCTAACTCCCCATTTTCAAAAGCTAAATTAAGGCCCTGAGTAAATGTCTAAAAATCCTGATTGGAGTATCACTATAAATAATTCTACATGATAAAAATAAGGCTTTAAAGGGGTCATATGATGCGATTTCAAGTTTTCCTTTCTCTTTGGAGTGTTACAAGCTGATTGTGTATAGATAAGGTCCCTGAAGTTGCAAAGACTAAAGTCTCAAATCCAAATAGATATTCTTTATCAAAGTTAAGACTCTGCCACGCCCCCCTAAAACGTCTCGTTCTAACATGCCCCCACATATCTACCTCACTATGTGGAAATATTTGCGTAATACCGCCCAGATGTTCACGCAAAGAAAGAAGGCGTGGTTTCAGTAACCGCAGTTAGTGTTGAAGCAGCCATGTCAGGGAGACGCTGTGTGTTTCTAGGCGAAAGCAAAAGCACTTTATTTGGCCTTCCGGAAGTAGATGCATTTAGGAATCTTTAAGATTACTTGCAACAGAACAGCAATGCATTTTATGGACGACCGTTTCGTGAACCTAGGAGAGGAGGTAATTCTGACTTTGCTATGACAATCTGGCGCTTCTGAATCAGCTACTGTAAGTATGTTTTGTTATTAGTTTAAGTATTTGCTATTGACTGTTCAAATGCGGAGTTTTGC